GAGGAGTTAGCAAAGCAGCTAACAAGAGAGTTGGAGAATGTGATGGCTCTCGAGCCCACTCCCTGCTTAAGCACTGAGCTTGACGTGCTCTGGAACGAAGCACCCCTCCGGTCAGTTTGGGTTGGCAGTCTGAGCTGTGTGTCCCCCCACACTGCTTGTACTGGGAAAGCTGGGAACGCAGCTGCAGTATGAGAAGCTGAGAAAGACCTCGAGTTGGTGCAAGCACTCCCCAGCACCAACTGAAAAGACACCTTATCAGTGCTGTTCTCAGGGTAAATCCAGAAACAGAGCTTCATACCAGCCACTGTGAAGCAAGTTAACTCTTTCTTGACTAAACCCAGCACAACACTGCAAGGTGACACTAATTACTTGCCAGCTGTTCTAAGTATAAGAACTTGCGTGTTAGCTATATGTTGTTGCTTGATACTTTTCTCTCTCGCTTTTTTTTCTTTCCGTTTTGAAAGCTTTCTTCTCTTAGAATTTTTTTTTAAGGAATACTTACACTTAGTTTTCACAAGAGACTAATAGCTCAAATTTATGCAACTGTTTTCAGTTTCTTGTAAATGAAATAATTTTGCACTTTGTTTTGAAATAATCAGAGTTTACTGATCACCTCAAAAAGCAGTGTTGGAACTCCAGCAGCAGTTAATTGCTCTTTAAAAACCCAGTTAAAATCAAAAGAAGTGGAAATAAAAATGGCTTAGACTGGAAGTGTATCTATCAGATAAAATGATATAGTCACTTACAGACTGCATGTGTTTGTCTAGCATGTAAGATTCTTTATAGATGAACAGTACTAGCATTACATTGTTCTAATTTCCTTGTATCTTCAAGAGAGAAAGGAGGATAGCTTTATTAATGTCACTGTTGTGATGATGTTTTTGTCCTTTTTTTCTTTTTCCAGATATTGACTACCCTTGTAAAAGGAATTTGTAAACCAGTAACCTGCAAAATCCGCATTTTGCCCTCAGTAAGAACATAAATTGTTATGCTAAAATGTTTAGTTGTTGTTTAATTCTGTGATTTAAAATCAATTAGAATATATGACGTTTTAATATATTGGCATTTTAGACTTGTTCCTGTGAAATAGCACTTGGAATTATAATTTGTGCTTGGGATGCTGTCACAACCTAAAGGGTTATCTGACGTGCAAGAGATGGTGGTTGTGAGTTCGTCAGATTCTGCAATACACAAGGACACAAGAGTTGTTTATCCACTAAATTTCTCAACTTTATTGCAGATTACCACACATACCACAAAAATCATCATAGCAAGTATACCTGTGATTAAGAAAGCAAGATATATATGCCCTTAATTCCTGATTTTCACCTGGGGCAGCCAATAGAAGATTGCGTTCTGTTCTTTTATACAAATTTTTATTTTTCCAGACTGTTTTCCTGTTCTTGCAGTTAGAACAGCCAATAGCAGTCACAGATTCTGGAATTTCTTGACTTGAACTTCTGCTTGAAGTTTAAACTTCAAGAGGGAAAGTCCAAGGCCTAATGGTACTTCTACAACTTCCAATATTCATGTCAGTGATGAAGATTTCACTAATAATATTGTGTTTACAAAAGAAACTTCCTGTGCGCTATAAACTACTCATATTTTACACTGCAGGGTAGTTCTGCATTGCTTGACTCATGATTTACTGTATGTGCAGTGACAGCAATAAATACTACAAATGATACACGAATTAAAAGCAACTTCTGCAGCCTTTTTAGAAACTTTGATAGATTGAAGCACTGAGATAGCTAGCTTATACCAGGAGGTTCATAATCTTTCTTCTCAGAAGCAACATTTTCACTGAAATTAGAATGACACTTTTTCTGGATAGATTCTTGGGTACAATCATTCATTTCGAAGAAATTGTGGTACAACTGTTATATTGCTAAAGCTGTTAAATTTTGTTTTGTCAGTATTTTTCTAAAATTTAATTATTAAGAATGTAGTAAAATACATAGCGGTTTTTTTTGGTTTGGTTTTTGTTTGTTTGGTTGGTTTTTTTACAGCTGATGTAGTTTTCTTACTGGATATTTTTTTTTCTATCGAATTCCCTACCTATTTTTAAACCTCCAGGAGATAATGTGCCTTCTCTCTTAATGACTGATTATTTTGCAAATGTATATTTAATTAGCTGCCTAGATACCGTGATTGCATCTGACCTGCATAGATCTTCCTGTAGCTAGATGAACTGTAACTGAACTAGCTATTGATCAAAAGTCATTTACATGTGCACTTAAAATAGTTAAATGAAAAATGAATGCTGTGTGAAAAGAATCAGTAACTTTTGTGTAAGACTGTTTTGGTTCTGAAGTACTGAAGTATTAAATCGAAGAACTGGCACCTCTCCTTTTTATTTTCTAAAACTATCCGGGAACCTCTTCCTTTTCGTTTCAAGCTGCTTTTGCATAACAAGCCATCCATCAGAACAGCAGATGAGCTGCTGTCACTCTGTCCATGCCAGCTGGGAGGCATTGCATTTTTCTAAGACTGAATGTGGTATTTTTTGTCACGAGCCACAAATTCTTCTCCAGCTTTTGAGAAGAAAATTGGCCTTATCTTATTTTTATTCTCCCTTTTTCTCAGAACTGCATGTGACAGGCTAATCCAGCAGTATTCCAAATTTCTTTCTTCCTTTTAGCAGCATCTTACATCTTAGAAGATGTAGTGGGAGCTTCCCCTTTTTCCTCAATAACTTTTGATTCACTGGTTATGTCTGAATAGCATTAGAATGTTTTGGATACTAGTTAACAGTTTAAGACACATCTAACGGGTATATAGACACAGATGTGTGATTGCATGTTATGTTGATTTCAGAAGGCATCCTCTTAGTAAGACTAATTTCAATTACCATTTACAAAGTAGTCATTAGAGAGGACTTGCTAATCAAGTGTTTTCTATAATTTTCAAATGACAGTCTAAAAAGTTGCTGGAAAATATTCTCCTACTACAGAGTATTGCGTTTACCTGGTTTGAGAAAGATTGCAATGTATAGTTTCAAGGAAGTGTTGAAAATGGATTCTTATTTTTGCCGTAATACGTAGTTCTTTCATTGAAGTATCTATTAAATGCTTATGCATGTTGGGAGTTACTGCTGAAATACAAGAATCATATCCCTCTTGTTGAAAGAAGAGACTTTCAACACTTGTGCAATGATCACATGATAATTATTCCTTTTTCTTTGAATGAAAGTCATGTCATTCCCTCTTATCCCTCAGGTTGAGGATACTCTGAACCTGGTAAAGAGAATAGAGAAAACTGGTATTGCTGCCATTGCAGTCCATGGAAGGTAAATTGATTTTAGGCATGAGAGACAGATTTTTTTGTTGGGTTTTGTTGGGGTTTTTTTGTTCGTTTGTTTCCTGATTTACTTTTGACAACAGCCTGTAGTGACAGGATGAGGGGTAATGGGTTTAAATTGAAAGCGGGGAGGTTTAGGTTAGATATCAGGAAGAAGTTTTTCCAGGAGAGGGTGGATAGTCACTGGGACAGGTTGCCCAGAGAAGCTGTGGATGCCCCATCCCTGGAAGTGTTCAAGGCCAGGCTGGATGAGGCTTTGAGCAACCTGGTCTAGTGGAAGGTGTCCCTGCCCATGGCAGGGGGCTTGGAACTGGAGGAGTTTTAAAGACCCTTCCAATCCAAACCATTCTATGATTCTATGGAAATGTATTTGATACAAAGTAATTCTCTTGAGTTTAAAAAAATAAAAAAAAAATCAAATACATGAAATAAGTATGTTGCAGTAATCCTTGAGGCATGTGTGCTGTGATTCAAATATCTATAAATTCCATAGGAAATCTTTGGTCTTGTCTTTTTTTGTTTGTTGGTAAGGAAGAAGGAGGAGAGGCCTCAGCACCCTGTCCACTGTGATGTGATCAAAGCCATATCTGAAGCAGTCTCCATTCCAGTGATAGCAAAGTAAGTTGAAGCTTGTTATAGCAAGATGCCTGTACCTAACTTAAGATTTGCAAGTGCAGGAAGAAGATCCTTCACGTAGGGCGAATATGATGTTACCTGTTACCAAAGATCAAACCTGAATAGAGGTGGCAGTGATAGAAGTTGGCTGTATGGAATATCACCATACCTCCATCTTCAATTTTAAAATTATATGTGGTTTTCAAGAAGTATTGCTTTTGTGTGTCGCAGTCTATCCCATGCAAGTTGTTTGTGCTTTCATCCAGCAGTTGAATTCTCTATGCTTTTAAGTCCTGTTCAGTGGCTGGTTATAACCCTGCCACTGTGTATCTTGAACACTTGAACTCTAGAGATGGCGTGTCCCACTGCTCAAAAACAGTGTTACGTTCTGTGGCCTCACATTTTCCCTGAGACCTCCATAATCTCCAGACATCATTCTCACTGAATCTGTCTACTTGTATTGATAGATCCTTCACTAACTCAGTAGTAGTAAAATAGGGAACCCAGAAGAGTTTAGCTACAGGTTGGTAGGTTCTAAGACCAATTCTGGAGGCAATGAAAAGTATCACACTGTCCTGAATTGTATATGATCTGCCTAACCAACAGCTTAAATGTTTCAGCTCTCTATAAGTGGTTAGAGAATCCGTGTTGTTAGGTGAAGTTGTTACTTTACTGGTCTTCAGTATGCAAGGAAAAGCTGCATCTCTGCAAACCGTATACTTGGATCAGGGATCTGAGAACTTGTTTTCCTGTTCACATGTCTATGTAGAAAATACATTGAAAGTCAGTTTTTGCAGTTATAAAACTTGTTTCTGTACTGGGCAAAGACAATATTCCATGGTGATAATCTTTGTTGAATCTCTTTTCAGTGGTTCACCCCCTTTCTAGTTTTCAGTATGTCTTTTTAAACAAAATGGGATTAAAAAGCCAAGCAAAATTCACATTGTGCATTGCCATGAAGCCTCTGTTTGCCTGGGACGAGTAAAATAATTTTTCTTAGACTTTATGCATGTCACAGAAATGTCAGCTCTGTGTGGGTACTTTCTATGATGTAGAAGTATGCAAATAAGGTAGAAAACCATCAGAGGTTTATTGTTGATGAGTTGTTTCTGATTAATCCCTATATTAATATACTTCTTTGCAAGTGTCCCAACATGCTGAACTAACTTTAACAATCCTTTTTTTTATGGTTTCAGTGAAAAGGATATAATCTGTGGTTTAAATCCTCTTAGAGAAACTTCCCTCTCTACAGAAATGTAAATCTGCAACACGAAATCCTTATTAACTATATTTGATCCATGATACTTGATCCCTGATGTAACTTATTTGGCTAGTATTTTGAGAATTTTAATCACTTGTACTTCAAGCTTGATCAGGAAATACACAGGAAAGAATATAAGGAAGCAGACTGGTACTAAAAAAAGGCAAGAAAACTTGAATTGGTACTATGGTTTCTAGCATGGTACAGTGTTTATGGAGTAGTCTTTCATAGGTGCAGGAAGCTTGCTTGTCTTCACAATATAAATGTCTGCTTTTAAAGTAATTTATCATGCGCTCATTTTTATTTTGAATGTGACTGGTTTTACCTTTGAAGGGATAAAGATCCTACTCGTACAGTTCAGAAGTCCAACTTTTATTTTAGACTTAAAAGATGTTGTGAAGGGAAACTTTAAGAGAAAGAAAAGGTATTTTAAGTGTTCTTTTCGCTTACTAACACATCTGACTTGCTAACTTGAAAGCAGAGACAGTGTAATAGAAGCAGTGCAAACTTTTTAAGCCCTTTGAAGTGCTTTGTGACTGATCTGAAAGTACTACTTGTAGTTCCTCTCCATATGTTAGTGCCAGAGTGAAAATGGAATGAGGCAGTCCATACTTAACTTGGTCTCAGTATCCCTTGTGCCAACACAATTAATGTGCAGTTGAAGGTTACAGAACTGACAGTTACAAGGGGCCATTTTTCAAATAACGTGGATGTGATTCGTTGTGAGCCTTATCTGTTAAGAACTGTGTGAAAACACAGAGTTTGTGTAAAACACAGCCTGTATTCTTTCGTCATAAAAACATCTTCTGCATCTTCTATTTTTGACAAGTATGCAGATGATGAAAAATGTTACATATAATTAGTGTTTTAATGAGCCATTACTAGTAAAATTGACCCATTTATTCTCTTAGATTTGAGATGATATCCTAAATAGACCCTGCCACCATTAGTAATGTAATATCACAGTGAAAATAGAAGGCTGTGTTAAAGTACAAGTAACAGCAAATAAAATTTTCATGTTTATAAACAGTGATGTTAATTTTTAGTGGAGGATCTCACGACTTCATCAAAGAATATACGGACATTGAGGCCTTCCAGAAAGCAACAGCTGCCTCATCGGTAATGATAGCTCGTGCTGCCATGTGGAACCCATCTATCTTCAGAAAAGAGGGTCTTTTCCCCTTGAAGGAAGTCATGCAAGATTACATCAAATACGTATGTTTTTTGGAAGATCATACTTGTAGTTAACATTGTTTAGGGCTGTTAATCCAAAATCTTAAGAGGAGTATGTAACTCCTCTTAATTTCAAAGACCTAGGTTCTGGGGATATATTAATGTACTGCATGTGACACGAGTCTTGCAAATTAACCACTACTTCCTCTGTTTTATTTTATTCAGAAAAAAATTTTCAGAAACCTGTATTCAGAAGACATCTTTTCCTCATCATTCCTTTCTTACGTACCATGCTTTTTAGCCCTAGTTTCTTGGGAATGTTTATGAGGCTTACAAGGCTGTCTAAAAATGTCTGGAAAGTAGAAAAGCTAATGATATGTAGGCCAACTCTCTTGATGTTACAGTCGTACAAATAGTATTGAACAGAAAAGTGAAGGAATATTAAATAGCTACTGCTAGGTTCATTTTTAGAAATTAATTGCTTTTCACAAACACTGTCAAGCATTTTTAACATCAGGGAAGTAAGGGGAATGATTTGCCAATAAAGTAATATTGTATACCTATAGCTCCATTAGCTGAGTTATCTATTATAAAAAATTTTGTCTATTATTCAAAATACACAATTTTAATGACATAATATGAAATTAGTCAGAAATCTGTGGATGTAATCATGTCATCAATTCAAAATATTGTTTTGGAAAATTTGAACTGCCATTAACTAGTTACTAAAATATCACTGCACTGCTAGTCAGTTATGTAAACAGGTCAACTCTTTCTTCATATTAGTATGTTGAATTTATGTTTGTAAAGCATGCCAAAATAATCAGATTATACTCCCATTCATGAGTAGTCTTGAATATGTTACTGAGAAAACTGTACACTGCAGTTTGCCTTTCAAAAAGGATTTTGAAATTCTTCAAGAGACATGGGCTTTATGTAAGATACATTTGTTTGGTACGATTTTATATACTTAGTATCTCTCTTCCAGGCAGTGAAATATGATAATCACTATACCAACACAAAATACTGTTTGTGTCAGATGTTAAGAGAACAGTTGGAAACTACTCAGGGTAAGAAGCTGCATGCTGCGCAGTCCACACAGGAGATCTGGTAAGCATGTACTTCAGAAACGGGAATTATGCTCTCTGTCAGACTTGCAAACCACTTCTCTGCCTGTAGCACTGCCTGGCATTTCATACCTTCTGAAGAAGTTGGAGGTGGGAGAGCGGGGAAGGTCCGGTTAGTGAGATGTGGAATAATGCAGTAAATTTTGCCAGGTTTCCTCCATGCTCGGGTGTTAAAGCTTTAACCCTCGAACTGTCTGTGTATTAAACATACCAATTTGAGTGGCTCTTCACTGAGCAACAGGCATTTATTCAATCTTTGCATTAACTGACTAAGAAAAGTTTCAGCATTCTCTAATGGTGGTCTGGAGGTTAATAGTGTGGAGTTTGTTTTCTTCCAGATGTATTTATTTATTTTAGTTTTCCCTTTTCCATGTGGGGTCTTCAGTGTTACTGGAATTTTTATGACAAGGTGTTTGTTTTAAATGAACACTGAGAGATAAACTCAAAACACCATGAAGGTCACCTATATGATACTTAAATGTATTTTTTTATGCTGCTTTTCATACCTAAAATACGCTAATGAACAATGACAACCTTTTTGAGGAAATACAGCGGCTGTAATGAATCTCTTCATCCTGGACATCTGAAACAGTCTGGATGAAATTTCTGCAAGGGGCAGATAGAAAAGGAAGGCTGTTCTGAACAGCCTGTTTAATGTCCAGATAACTGAAGAACATTGTTATTTACAATGCACCTATACATCTTCAGACAAAACGTTGCTTAATGCTGCTGTCTCCTGGTGGTGATGGCATGCTACAATCATTTGGGGCTTTAACCTCAGTACTGAATGCAAGAGAACACACTCCGCATTTCAGACAAAAAAATATACATAACAGTACAAGATAAGTTGCCTTCTCATGGAAGCATCAGTTAGCATTATCCAGCTTTGTTGCTTTTCCACTTGGAAGCTGCTTTGTGGCCAGAATTCATCTTGCCATTGAACAGCCTTGTACCAATGAGCATTCTCATTAACAGTCAGTTTTTCAAGGTAGATGCCGCCTGCCATGGATCTGAAATTTAAAAGGGTCTTGTCTGTGGCTCAGATCCTAGTTGCTTCCTGCCTTGTACTGGGGCTTGTAAGTAATACTCTGAAATCAGAAAATCCAAGATTTAGAGGTATTTAGATGTTTATTGCTTATAGTATTTTTATACACTGAAATTAGAAGAAGAATCTGTCCTACTTTTTGCTCATACTACACTTGTGGAGCTGATGCACCAGTCATCAGTTGGAGATGTTCTTTGACTCATCCACCTGCAAGGTATCAATTGAGCTATGATATTGACTTGAACAGTCCAGGACCTATATTTCTCATTGATTCTGACTGGATTTTCAGGCTGAAAATTGAATATCTAGTGCTGGAAATGAGGACATTCTTTTTCTACTTGTAGTAAAACAGTGTCTGATAGGAATTGGTGGAGAAAAGACGTCACTGTGCAGAAGATCACACTTTCATGTGATTCTCAACATATATGTGCTATTTAAACACAATTGATTTCTACACTTACTTTTCTCTCTCATAATGTGATACAAAAGTTTATAAGCTTATAATCTCTAATACAAAGGAATTCTGTTTGAATAGTGAAGTCTTTGAAATGGCTGACTTGTATGAAGAAACAACAGCTATTTTTGAAGCAAAGAAAGCATCTTTAGAAACTGAGACACAAGATGAAGATGGTGAAATGGAAGACCCAGATGTAATAAAAATGGCTGTTAGATTTGACAAGTAAGCATGAAAATTAAGTTTTTCACCATCTTGCATTTGTAAACAAAACCTGTGAATTTGATGGTGCCTTACAGTGTTTTGAAAATAACAATTTGCATAACGGTGCTCACTGAGTGAATTTTTATGAAGCAATGGGTGTACATCATTACAAAATCACTAGCATCGCCACTCTTCCTGTGATACTTGGATGTTGTAAGATGTTCTTTAGTTCCAGGCTTCCTGAAAGCATGTAATTCTTAGTTAACTTACTGAAAGTGTTAGTGATTTGAAAAAAAATCCAAATATCTGTACATAGAAGAATGTGGGTATACAAAGATATAATAAGTTCAGTTATTTTTGGTGAAATTTAACTAAAACACAATAGTTTTTCTATAAAGAGTCCTGCACAAATTGTTTTGTACTCTTTTCTAAGGAGATAATCTATGTGCTTATCTGCATTCCTCTAAATGTGTTTCACTCATAAGCTATTCCTTGGAAAAACTAATTCTTGGAGTAATGCACAGTATTATTTTAAGTAACCTTGTATTGTAAGGTGTGAAACCTGTACAGTGGTTTTACAGTATTTCTTTGCCAAGTACAAGGGGCTGTAATTCTGTGTCAGTAACTGAATCGATGCCTATCCTTCATATCCTTTTTTATTTGATAATTCTAGTGTCAGAGTAGAAATTTTTATTTGATAATGCTACTGTAACGTAACAGAAGCAGCTTTTTTTCTTTCTTCTAGTGTTTAATCTTATATTGTTGCTTATAACAACCAGTGACAAGCTGTTCCTCTAGTGTGTGTCATATCTAGTTAGAATCTCCTTTCTGCTGAGTATCTTTTCTCTAGTTGTGTTACTACAGGATGTGAGTGTTTGGGAAGAATTAATATAAAAGTTTAGATTTTAATTTTAGATGTTCTGTCAGATAAATGACTTGAATTATCTAATAAGGAAGCAGCGTTTTTCTCGTAATTTGAGCTGTAAAATAAACCACAAAGAATAATTGGTAGAAGTAATATAATAAGCAGCAGTATCTGTTTTAGAATAGATCTGTTTAGTAAGTAAATTCTGTGCACAGTTGTTCACTGCAATTTTTTCTGTCTAGGCGAGAATATCCACCACAGATTACTCCGAAAATGTATCTTCTGGAGTGGTGTAGGAAAGAAAAGCATCCTCAGCCTGTTTATGAAACTGTGAGTCAATGAAGAAATCCTTTCATACCTCTTCCTCTGCCTTGTCTATGAAATTAAGTATTTAGGAGTCAAGTAGTGAGAAATTCAGCTTCCCAGTCTGGCATAGCTTTTGAGTAAGCAGTTTCAGAAGCAGTAATACAAATATACATGAAAATAGCAGCTTATTGTATTAGAAAATAAAAAATTTAAAAGTCAGACTTCTGGCCTGGTTTTGATTTACATGTGAAAAGTTGCTGTAACTGCAGGTCATTACATAGGAGTCCATAACTGACGTTCTTGTACTTCTGTGAAGTAAACAATTTGGATTCAGAATGTTTTCTCTGTTGTTGCACACTCCTAGAGGTAAGAAGTATACTGGACAGGAGCAACTGCGTAGTTGGGTGGGGACATAATTTGATTATTTTTTGGTAAAGCAGAAATATTTGCAGTCCGGACAATTTCTTCTTTTTTTTTTTTAACCTTAAATACACAAGGCTAAATTTGTGGTATGAATGAAGTAATTTTAAAGGCGTTACTTGATTGTAACACAAAGACAAGAGTAATAAGCAACCTTGAGAATGTTGTTTGTTCTGTAAATGATGTGACTGGTTTTTGACACCCTGCTCCCTTTTGATTCTTTTTTCTTTTTTTCTCCAGGTTCAAAGACCACTGGATAGATTATTCTGTTCAGTAGTGACAGTAGCTGAGCAAAAATACAGATCAACTTTGTGGTAAGCTATCCTCAATGTTTTTTGCACCTATATTACATAGTTTCTGAAATGTTGCTTAAAACTTGCAATGAAAGGGTGCTCCAGTTTATTCCAGCTGTCTTTAATATCAACTTTAATGTCAACTAAAAGCTACCTTCTAAAGCTACCTCTGGGAGGGAGAAAAGAGTAAAAATTTCTGACAGCTGAATGTGGCAACAGGAAGTAAGCTTTAACATAATCAAGTAGACCATCACAGATTTCCATCCACTTAGTGCATTAATCCACAGACTGTATTGGAGGGGGAGCAAAAAGGTGACCTGGTTCAGTTGTGCCTGTGAAGAGCTCAGAAACGAACATAGGGAGTCAGAGGAGATCGTTGGAGGAGGTGATGTCTTCAGTCGCTACAGCAGATCCGTTTTCAATAAAAAGTCAGAATTGAGCATCTGTGTACACAGTGAAGCAGAGGACGGTTTAGTGGCTTCTCACAGATCACAGTTAATCAACAGTTACATCCAGGGCTTCTCTAAAGTTTCATGGTGGTGTTTTATACGATCATCTGTTAATACTGGAGTTGACTTCAGGCATTGGCACCTAAGTGGTATTTGATTTAACTGCAAAGGCAGAGCTCAGCATTGAACGTTTTAAAGAGGACCAGTCCATGCAACAATTCCTCTGTTTTCAGCATTCCTGTTCACAGACTTTAGGAAGTTAAGCTCAGCTGATATGAAACTTTGAGAAGAAAATGTTTTCAAATGTTGAGTTTCACAAATGTGTAATGTGCAGCCCCTCTTGGATATGACAGAATTTTTATTATTATAGAACAGTTCCTGCCTCTGTCAGCATCAGTGCATTTGCACACCTACCAGTGATTATATTTGGGCCCGAGTGTCTTTCAAGGAAGTGATCCTTCAAAACTCAGTTTTGTTTAGTGATCATATTTGGAAACGTTAACTTTCTGGGTATTGCAGTCACTTGGGCCAAACACACGTTGATTTCATACCTTGGAAATGAAGAGTGTTTGAGACACAAGACCTGACAGAAGCAGATTTTCTAGGAATATTGCATCAGGAGAGATGCATCAACATTGACACCTAGCAAGATTCAAATAATTTCTGGAACTGATATATTTTGCTCTTCTGCTGTGAGATGACTACAAATGCTGTTTTATTTCATGATGTTACATCAGAGACAGGAAATTGATTGTCTTTTGTAGAGACTTCAGTGACTACTTTTACCTGTGCTCTGTCTGCTTGCTCTTCAGGGACAAGTCAAAGAAGCTAGCAGAACAGGCTGCAGCTATTGTCTGTCTGAGAACATTGGGTGTCCCAGAGGGAAAGCTGTGTGAGGGAGAAAATAACCTGATTAACAAACGCAAGAGGGAAGACTGGGAGCACTTGAATAACAGAGAGCATGGAGAAGATATTGCTGAGCCTTCGCATAAAAAGGCTAATTTTATTGAAGAACCTTCTGACATAAATGTGCCTAAGATGCCACGATAGCATGGAAATCAGAGGTTGCACGCTTCTGCGGCTACAAATTAGCTCCTGTTTGTATGTCTTGCTGTTCACATTTCATTTGGATTCTCCTGGAGACAGATAAATTCCCCGGTTGTGAAAAATGCCAATGAGATGTTTACTGTTCACCACTCACTGTCCCTATGGTGCCTTTCAGACAGGATGAATTAGCAACTTGATTTTAAAGAACATTGAGAAGATTATCCCAGATAATAAATTTTTTAAAATATCAGATATTTTCAAAGTAAGTTTGTCTTTGGTTTTATTACTTCATTTTTAAGAAGTCTACAGTGTGCTGGTAGGAGATGTATGAATACATTATCCATAAGCAGATGGATTCGTTATGGAACTATGTAGTTAATCACAAAAATTAATGTAGGAAAATACTAGTAGCTAAGTAGACATGGTTTTGTCAGTTGGGTTTTATGCATGTCTTGCAAGCTTTAGCTACACCTGTCACATAGCAAAAGCTTTTTGAAGAGAGGTCTTTGAAATTGTAATACTAAGCATGAAAATAACATTCTTCTTTCATAATTTCTACTACATTTTACCTTCCAGAAATATGACAATAAGAATTAACCGTCCTTTCCTGGTCTTGGGTATTACAATTGTGCCTTTCCTATTGGGAATTGGAGCTAAGTCTGGTAGCTATCAAATTGTTGAATGAAGGCACTTTGAGCTGTTATGTTCTTTTGTACTTGGAAGTTCTAGTAAATGTCTACATGGACATTACTTGCAATAGTGGGCATCCAAATATGGCCTTATGTGTTTGTTCTTGCAATGTGACCTTGTTGCCTCCATATTTAACTGTTACTGATATTGGTGGCCTTAATCAAAGGCACATGTTCTCCGTATGCCATAGTTATAACGTCCTTTTAAACTCTAAGAATGTGCCACATGCCAAGAGAGGATACAAACCCTGGGTTTCATGGCAATCCAGCTAAGCTTTTCTGATTTAAATTAGAGTTTTGAATCCCCGAAAGAATGTCTTCATGGATTAAGAAAATACAGGGGTTTCAGTTATTAACAATTTATTGAAGTGGTGGTTTAGTTTACCTCAAAAGGGTGAGGGATTTTCAGATTATCAGCTCTGGTCTAAAAAGAAGATGACAGAGATACCATGCCATGATCTCTAATGTATTTTGTATAAAGAACATAGAAAATATAATTATTTCTGGATGTAGTTCATAAATAGTCTTCCCATTTAAAAATTTTAATCTTTTTCCTCAGGTGTTAGTGCCAGCTTTAAACCATTCTTTTACAATGGAAGAACAATATCTCGCCAGATAATGTTCAGATTTGTGAAATGAAATGGATATGTAGTTGTATTTAAAATGTCTGCTGTCTGCATCAGAGTAATTTATAGTAAATCTATATGGTCTAAGAAGAAGAAAGTTTTTCTTGCTCATTTAGTACATTGCAATAAATGCAGTTAATTATACTTACATTCGATAAAACTTCAGTGCTAGAACTTTACTCCTAAGTAGATAAAAAAATCGTAATATTAATCAGAAATTTCAGAAGTAGCTGTTTTCCTATTGTGAGTGCTATCTGGGTGGCTTGTTTTCATCAGGACTGTGTGGAGCCATCATAGAATAGCAGAGAAAAAGTCATTCTTTGATTCTGATAGCAGTGTGGCTTGCAAGGTCTAGAATCATAGAGTGAGTGAGCTTGGATGGGACCTCTGGAGATCATCTGGTCCAACCCCTCTGCTCAAGGCAGGGTCAATTAGAGCAAATTTCTCAGGACTCTGTGTAGCTAGGTTTCATGTATCTCCAAGGACTGAGTCCATGACCTTTCTTGTCAACCTGTTCCAGTATTTGATCACTCTTAGAGGAAAAAAAAGTGGTTTTCTTCTTCTTGCATCTATATGGAATATCCTGTATTTCAATGTGTGCCCATTGTCTCTGTCCTGCCACTTAGAAGAATCTGGCTTCATCTCTTGTCATCGTCTGTCTAAAATTAAAATTGAATCTTGGGATAAACTCCCCTTATTATAGATGGTGGTGTCTAAATACAGAGCAGATTTCTATGGCAGCAGTTAGTACAGGTTGCTGGAAATTACAGTGGATTTGGAACAATGTATAGATAAACCAAGCATGGGGAGCATGTAATTTCTTTCCTGGCTCCTAGAAAAGCCCAAAGAACACTCAGGAGAAAGCCTGCCACAGCTGATACGGATGTCTTTTCAGAGAAGAGCTTCATTCAGTATAGCAGCCAAGGCTTTCATTACAGTATTTCACAGAATCATCTTTTCTTTCTTTCTCCTGATACCTTGTCACAGGATGTCAACATGCATCCTCCCTGCCTTGTAAGTGAGGTGTAGCCTATGTAGACTTCACATTGTTTCCTTCCAGCAGTTGACTTAAAATGCAGTTCAGAGCACTTCCTTATGGTGAGAGGTAGGTAACCCCAGTGGCTGTTGAGAATGTGTAAAATTTCGGTTGATGTTGAGCAGATTTCTGCAGCATACTGCCAAAAGTTCCCATGGAACTATAGTTGAAGATAGGTGCCTAACCAAGGGTTCTATGAATACCCTGGCATGTAGATGCTTTACTAGTTATCTTATGTTACAGAATATGTGCCTTAGTTTGGTTGATGGAATAATGCTAGATACATAGTTTTCTGAGCTGAAACAAATACCATGTTAATGCCAGCCTGTGAAGTGTAGGTATTTATATTTATATTAAATCAAATGGGTACTAAAAGTTGGGATGGGTGCTTCTGTTGTCTAATTTAAGTGAGGATTTGAAAACATGCACTTATTACGTGGTCACCAGTGCTTACACTTACTCCTCTTAATTCATTCTAATAGCTGTACGTGTGAATGAGGTTGTCTGCGCTGTAATGATGGATGGCCATAGCTAGGCCAAGCAGAGCAAGTGAACGTGAGGGTGCGGAGTCACTCAGTTGGAATGAGTGTTCAATGCTAAACATAGAAGGGCTGTAAATTCTGGCAAATGGCTAGAAAGCATAACATGTTTCACACACTTGATGAGTTTCAAAAAGACTTAATGAAAAGCTGCAATTGTGTATATGTGTGTCTGCATGTCAGAATATTTTGGTTTCATGATTTTGTTACATGCTTTCATTCCTCTTAACTGTATTACAACTAATGTGTGACCCTACTTGGATCATTCAATTCATCCTATCTGGTTCTATAGGTAGGATAGTTGTATTTACTATGTATATTCCCATCTCAGCACTGGTTTTGAAGTAATTACTTCAGTGATCAGTGCTTTCCTTCTGGAAATTGTTCTATTCACATTAAAAGAGCAGACCATGCTGGTGACTTTACAGTTTCTCCCGTGCTGCTCTTTTCTGCTGTACCTTTCATAAACAGAAGGTGGCAGATATTCTTCAGAAAAATATGCTGACTTCTGCAGTATTTAACCATCCGGCCATTGCACTTCTGCATTCTTGCATAGGGTGGCAACTGAGACCACAGTTGGATTGGAGGATATTTGGCTTCACTCTTCAGAATTTATTTATTTAATTAATGCTGTGTGAATACGATACTTGGTCAGTACTAACCAAAGCTGTGCCCTATTTTAGCATTTGCTTAGTGAAAATGTTTTGCTATTAATCCTGTGGAATTCAGTGAAGCAACTGGTCACAAGGCTACAGCAAGGAAACAAAAAAGCAGTTTTGGTTTGTTTCTTGGTGCTGACGCTGCAGAAACTATTTGTAATGATACCTGCCAAAGTGTGATCCATGGGAATGGGGGGAACTGTAACTTGTCCTTCCTGTAGCCTACATGAACTTTGCTTATTAGAAATGTGAATGGGAATGCAAAGATATTTTTACTAGCCTTTTAGCATGGATGCACTCACTGTGGGGCTACCTCCAGGGCCTTGGTGGTTGGAATGCTTTTTGGAATGTCCTGGGCTCTGAGCCCAACCCCGCCCTGGAATGTGAGGTTAAATGTTGGCGGTACAAATACAGAGTTTGAATATCAAAATCCTAGAGTTCCCCAGTACTGCAATTTCAGAAAGCTGGCAAGTGAACCACATGTCAGCTCAGCTGCTCTCTGATTCAAAGAGTAAGCGTGCCTTGGGTTGCTGGGGGAGGAGGGGGAGGTAGGATGCTTTTTTGTTTGGGTTTGGTTTTTACTTACTCGTTATGACCTGCTGAAGGGCATGCTTTTCAAAGACCTTAACTGGTAAGACTGCAAGAGGTCCCAAACAGGTGTTAACTAGAAAGAAGTCTTGGTTTACAAAAGCCTTTTATCGCCACTTCTTTAATCAAACCTACAAGCTCAACATACTTGAGAGCTGTTGCCATATTAAACAGGAGGCTACTTATATTTGGACTGCAAGTCAAGAAGCTGTGTCGATGTAAGGCTTAAGTTTCCATCTGTACCATAGTGCAGGAGGCCAGTGTTTGAGGCTTTTATTCGGAGTTTCTGATGACAAAGCTGATGAAAAACATTAAAAGCAAGATGCAGAGCCTTTGGTGAGGAGGGAGTGCCTCGTGTATTGTTAAACAGCAGTTGCCTAGGTCAATTGAGGAGAAGAATTGATGAGCTCCAGAGGGAGTTTTGTCCAGTCATCCTTACTCAAAGGAGTATTAACCTCAGTGGTTTTATGAGAGGAGGCTTACAAAATAGACAACATTTGTGGTATTCACTGAACTCCCAAATGAAACTGTGTTGTAGGCGTGAATGTCAGTCTGCCTGCTAAATATCTATTAAATATATGAATAAATATTTTTCCCTTGCACTGGCATAGTGGGAGAGTATCTGTTTTCCATTTTTAGAAAGTTACTGTCTTGAGAAAGATCCTCTGTGAGAGTTTACAAAGCACTGTAGTACAAATTGGACACTTTACTCATTCTAACTTAATTTTCCTTGATAGTCTCCATACATTTGTTAATGCTTCAGCATGCCAATGTGTTTAATATGAAAAATGAGCTTCCTTTTTAACTGCCTCTAAAAATTACTGCTTGATGATAGTTTATAACCTTTTCAGTTACAATCTGTAGTTGTAATCATGGATTTTTAATTACTAATCTATTGCGTAGAGCTGCCAGAACTGCATTTGAGTACAGATCTTCAATCTGTACTTTTTAGCTGTTTTAAAACTGTATGAACATTTTACCTTTCCTAATCAGGTTTTTTGTAAAATTATCTGTGCAGTGTTAGGATGCTGCATGTGCCATGCATGCGCTGTCTGTTCTGTGCACAGGTGTTGGCGAGGATCGTTGCAACCCCTTTGGTCATAGGTCTTCGTTAAACTTCATAAAC